GCAGTCCACAGGATGTTCCCCAGACGCTGTCTCCGCCGACATCCCCTCCCTCTGGCCACCCTTGGGTCAGGACCCAGGCGTCCAGGGCAGCGGGGGTGGGGTTGCAGCGTGGGGTGGGGGGTGGCCTGTCAGGGCCCCGGAATGAGGGTGGGAGGTGGGGAGGCAACGGGCCCAACAGGTTCCGCCTCATTCCTGCCCCGCCTCTCACTTCCTGGGTGCCCGCCTGGGGCAGGGGGTGGACGGGATGAACCCCATGGCCTCAGCGCGCCTGGGTGGGGCACAGCCCGCCCCGCAAGGACTGGCTTCTGCTGGGCACCTTGACGCCCAGGCCTGAGAGACAGGAGGAACCTGGGCCCTCCTCTGCCTGCCAGGCCTCCTCCTACTCCTTTGACCAGCTCAGGATGCAAAGCGTCCCCTCTATTATTCACCTAATTCCCACAACAACACAATGGGCCAGGTATAATTATCCCCCATTTTCAGATGGGGAAACTGAGACCGAGGCAGTAATGACCACAGAGGCAGCATTTGAACCCAGTTCTGAATGCTACTCAAGACCCCCCCCCCCCGCCCCCCCAGCCAGCTCATCAACCGCCTTCCTTCCCTTCTCTAAAAATGGTACATGTAGGGTGGAGTGTAAACCCAGGGCCCGTGAGGCCTGGCTCAAGGGGGCGCCCGGCTAGCTCTGAGTCAAAAGGGGCCCCTGTTTGAAATGAATAAGAAAACGGCTTTAACCGTTTCGTCGCCACGATGGGCTCTGCCAAAACTCCCTGTGGGCGGGGGGGGGGGGAGGGGAGGGGGTGGGAGCTGGGTTCCCGTAGGCTTGGGGGGTGGGGGAGGCACCTCTAGCGACCTTGGCGAGGTCTGGCTAAGAAGACACCATCTGCCCCCATCCCCCGCCGCCCAGCCCAGGGCCCCCTAGAACTTGGTTCTCAGCCCCCACGGCCTGGAGGGGGTCTCAGAGCCCGGAGCCCCCTCCCCAGGGGCCTGACTCACACTCGGGGAAAGCCGCGAAGGGTGAGTCACGTGGGCGGGGATGGGGGAGCAAGGTCGGTTGCGGCCAAGGGACCCCGCGCTGGCCTGAGTCACGCATGCTCCAGCCTCGCTGACCCCAGCCCCCTTCCCCAGAGACCAGGGGCGGGAAGCGCATTGCCGAAGGACTACGGAGCTGCAGAAAGAGCAGGAGGTGGGGGGGAGGCTGGGGGGCGGGGGGAGGAAGCCAGCGCCAGGCAGCGCGGGAAGCTCCGGTTCCCATGGTAACTAGGGGGTGGTCCTCCCAGCTCCAATGGGGGGAGTTCCTCTCTCGGCAGGGACGGCCCCGGTGCGCCGGGGAAGCCCCCGCGCGCTCTGTCGAGGGGCCACTAGTTTCAGGTCCGCCAGGAAGGGGTTAACGGCGGCCCCCTCCCGGGTTTCACCCGCGCCCAAAGCCCCGGAGGGGGGCGGGGCTATGCCCCGCGTGGCCAGCCCCCGTGGCCGCCCACGCACACGCGCACGCAGCTAGCCCATCCCCCGCCCCGCGCTCGCACGCACGACCGCGTCGGGCTCCACGCATGCAGCGATCCCCGTCGTGTCTCACGTCACGCACGACGCACGCGCCCCCGCAGTGCCGGGAGGGGCCCTTCCAGGCATAGAGCAGTGGGAGGTGGGGCGTCAGATGGCCACTGCGCACATCTCCGCCTCCGCTGGACGTGGTGTCCCGTGTGACTTTGACACCCCCCCCCCACACACAAGGTCACAAACTCTCTGATGACCCACAGTGTCACACGGACACAGGATACACCTGCCCTACAATGGCACAAGCGTTCAGTAGTATAGCCAAACCCCGCAGCAGACGCGGACAGGGTCACCTGTCATTCTTTGTTTACGGAGACAGACAAGGCCATCTCCATACAGAGGTGGCATATATAGGTATACTCTGATAAGGTCATACCATCACCATCAAGACAAAGTAAGCCACAGATACAAAGTCTTGGACATCAGGACTCCAGTTGCAACACGGCTATGCCTTATCACACAGAGATCGTAGAGGCACAGAGACACATGGTGGGGACACAAACAACAGCCATGCTGTCTCACGGCCATCACAAATAGGGCACACAAGTCAGAGTCAGACAAACCCACAAGGCCACACACAGGGACACTCAGATTGTCAGGGGGGGTGTGGAAAAATCAAGGATATACATGCCAGGGTCATGCTGTCACAGAAAGCCACGTGATGGAGAGAAAGGACATGGTCACACAGAAACACAATCTAAAGCCACACTGAAGTACTGATTGTCACACATTCAATTCTCATACAAAAAAAAAAAAAAAAAAAAGACACAGGAATATAGACACAAAGCAAGGTCGCATATAAAGAAGCATTGTGCCCCAGTCCCCATCAGCTTCCCCACTCCTATCAAATCCTAGGTAGTCTGTTGCATAAATTCCTAGAGCCCCAAGACACAAGTGGATGCAGACCCACAATCACAGACCCACCATCTCACACCTACATAAATATGAGCACACTTCACATGGACTCAGACACACACACACACACACACACACACACACACACACACACACACAAGGAGGAGGACAGGATGGGAGTTCCCGGCCAAATGTCAGTCTTTGGTGCAAAAGGCCTGCCAGGGTCCCTCCTCGTATGGAGCATGGTGTCCACCCAGCAGCTGTGGTCAGCCCTGGGGAAAGGGCATCATTCTCCCAAATGTGTGCACCCAGGGTCCCCGTCCTAGCCCTCATGACTGTGGGTCTCTGCCCAGATGTGAAAGCTGGAGGTGACGGGCCGGGGTCCAGCTGTGGCCGCAGGGAGGGGCTGAGTCACCGGCTTCCCAGCAGTACAACCCAGGCTGGGCCCAGCTGTTCCTGGAAACAGGCAGGAGGGGGTGGGGTCTCCAAACCAGCTGGGGGCTGCCGGCCCCCACCCACACTCTCCGTCCCTACTAATGGAGGCCTCTGGACCATCCCCCAAATTTGGGGGCTCCCTCCACCAAAAATGGAGGTTCGCATCTTTCCGCCAAAATAGGTTTCCTGTCCGGAAACGAGGGCTTGTGACCCCTTTCATTGAATTGAAGATACCCGGATCCCCCCAACAGTGGGATTCCTTACATCCCGTAATAGAGATGGCTGCTCTTCGCTGCCAACATGGGAGCTTCCTTTCCCCACAAACATAAGAATCCCTTCCGCCCCAAATGGAGAGTTAATGGATCCTCTCCCAAATTGAGGCACCCAGACCTTTCCTAAAATCTGGGGACTCGGGTCATTGAACATCTAGAAAGCCCATAATCACATTAGGACAATTCCAGTCCATGCCCCAAATATCTGGTTTCCCACATTTTTCTTATACATCAAGATCCCTGCGGCTTTTGCAAATACTGGGTACCCCACACCAAATATTTGGCGGTCACAGCATGTCCCCCAACGTTGGGCAACCAGGCCCTCCCACAAATATTCCTAGCACCCCATCCTTGTAATAGACGTAGTTCCCGGCCATCGTCCACTTTTACCTGGGAGCAGCGTGGCCCCATTTCCCCCTACTGGCAGCACCCTTTCCTCCGGTGGGTGCGGGAAGGGGGAGCCAGCGGCAGTTGTTCCCACGCCCGCCGGAAGGCAGCCCAGTCCGGAAGCCGGCACTGCCGGCCCTTGTCCCCTTCCCTCCTCCCTCTCACCCCGCTCCCAGGGGTTGGAGGCCGAAAACAACGCGGGAAGGAGATATGGGGGTGTAGACGGGCCCGGGAGGCCCTTGCGTGCGTGCGGCCGCGCTTCTGAGTGGGCTGTAACTGGGTATCTGATGGTACAGTGACTGGGCTGCTGTGACGCGGCGTGGCGGCTCCTGTCATCCTGATCAACCCGCTCCAGGACAGGGTCGCGGGTGCCAAACTCTGGGCTGGAGAGAGCAGCGCCCCTCCCCTCAGACCTAGACCCACCCCCAAAGCAGAGCCCGCCCCTCCCTCCAGGTACAGCTAATAACCTCTAATTACTGGTCATTACCTTGCCCGCCTCGTGGGAGAGGAGCTGCCGGGGGTACTCTGGCGCCAAAGGCTGCGGGCCAGGACTACCCCCACCCCCCACCCTCCCAAAGCCACTTAGAACCTCTGTTAACTCTCCTGCGACCAGGAATTGAAACAGCTCTTGCCACCTAGAGTCATGGGGAGATTTCAGCCGCCTATGTATTTAAATCGCTTAGCGCAGCGGCTGCACACTGTAGACACTCAATAAATGGTGACTGCGATTTTATTAAATACTATTGTTATCGCTTTCCTTTGAGCCCCCTCCACCGCCAAGGCGGGGTCTCAGAAAAGGCACGTTGCTTCCCCGCAGGCTGCGTTCCTGCAGTCTGCGCGCCCCCTGGTGGGCCTGGGGCACCAGGGAGGTCAGGTCCTGCGATCGGAAGCCGGAGGACCTAAGGGGTTCGGGGCTGGGGAGGGTGGTGCAGGAGAAGCTCTGTGGAAGTGGATCCAGACTGGGCAAGTGTGTCTGTACCTCACCCAAGACCTGAGTCCAGCTGATTCATCCTGCCCTCGACCTAGGATCACGCTCGTGTCCCGTTTACCCCTGAGGCAAGACTCCCAAGTGGTGACTTGGGAAGACCCCCTTTAGGAGCTCTCCTCGAAGTTCATAGGATGTGTTACGGCCTGCCTCTTCCCCGCGCAAATAAAGGCTCCGATCATAAGGTGGTTAGGGGCCAGAATTCCTTCCAGCTGAAGAGAGAGGACGTGAAAAAGCCCGTATAACAGGGTGGGATAGCTCCGCCTCACAAGCTGAGGAATTATCCTGAGGTCTCCGCTACCCTCCCCCTGCCAAAAAGAGCCAAGGAGGAGGGGTAGCGGGTCTGCGCTAGGCATATGCAAGCTTGGCCCAGACTGACCCCTAGCGGCAGGGCGGGCGCCCAAGTGCTGCCCGGATCCAAGATGGCGGAACTGGAGGTATGATCGGGCGCGGGGTGGAGACCACGTGTCTAGGGCGGGGCCTGCGCCTAGGGGGCGGGGCGGGGCGGCGCTCTAGGCCGAGCGGGAGGTCGGGGCTGCGGGTGCTCGCTGGTGGCGGATCAGAAGGCGGCTGCGGTGGCGGGGCTCCGCGGCCGAGGTCGAATCCGATCGGGAGCCATGAGCGTGGACAAGGCCGAGCTATGCGGGTCTCTGCTCACCTGGGTAGGTCGGGGGCGGGGCCAGGGCCAGGTATGCGCCCGCTCTTCTCGCCTGGGAGCCCTGGCCTTGGTTCGTTCTACCCTTCTGTTCTGGGGCTGGGAGGAGGAAAGGGCCTTCGGCCTGCAGGGCGGTTGGACTCTGGCCTGAGCACCCGCTCCTGTCACGTGGCAGGTCTGCGTGGAAAGAACAGGTGAGGCCCCGCCCCTTCGCGGCTGGGTCACGTGGGTGAGGGCACAGGTGCGCTGGCCTGGTCACGTGGGGCCTGTGGGGACCAGGTGACTCGTGGTTCTCCCCTGGCCCGGTGGCGCGGGGTTTGTAGACCAGAAGTGAAGTGAGGCCACGCCCCCTCCAGTCCCAGGTGAGCTGTGGCCACTCCTCCGCGGAGCTGGTTTGCGAAAGCCATAGAGCAGTCACCGCCAACCGTGTGAGGTTCCCGCTGACCGGGAAAGTCAGCGAAAGAGGAGTGGTTCGATTTTTCCCAGGCCCTAACTGCCCATTGCCCTTTCCTCTTCCTCCCCAGTTGCAGACGTTCCATGTCCCGTCCCCCTGTACCAGCCCCCAGGACCTGAGCAGTGGCCTCGCCATAGCCTATGTGCTGAACCAGATGTGAGTGGGGCTGAGGGGGAGGGTCCCGAAAGGGTTCCCCAGCAGCTCATCCCACCTTCTCGCCCCCAGAGATCCTTCCTGGTTCAACGAGACGTGGCTCCAGGGCATCTCAGAGGACCCGGGTCCCAACTGGAGGCTGAAGGTGACAGGTGGACTCATGACTGGGGGACAGACTGGTGAAGAGATCATCAGGGAAGGCTAAGCTAGACATGTCCTGGGTGATGGGTCAGCCAGACACACGTCCTGGGTGATGCACAGACAACTTGGCCAGGAAGAGAGACAGATGTCTGGTGACCAGCCAACTCTCTTCTTTCATGCTCCTATGGAGCAGGCCTGGGTGTGCCGCAAGGAATGACACAGACAAAAACCTGCACACACGAACATAAACTTCCAGTGGCAATAAGTTCTACGAAGACCATAAAAGCTGGGCCGTGAGAGAGGGCAGCTGGGCGGGTGGTTGGCCCCGATGGGCTGATCTCCATGTGAAATTTGGAGGAACAGGGTTCTAGGCACCGGGAACAGCCAGTGCAAGGTTGGGAAGAAGCCTGGTGTATCGAGGAAAGGCAGGGAGGTCAGAATAGAAAACAAGGGGGGCAGAAATGGTGGATGAGGTCATCAGGAGCGGGGCAGGCTGGGGCAGGGAGATGGATTCTATTTTAAGTGCTACGCAAAGTCAAGGAAGGATTTTAGCAGAGAGGAAAGACAACCTGGCTTGGGATTTAACAAAGCTCCCCCTGGCTGCTTGGAGAGGAATGCAGAGTAGGCAGCGAGAGTGGAAATGGAGACCCGGTTGGTGCAATAATCCAAGTGACAGATGAAAATGGCTAGGGCCAGAAGGTGGCAGGGCAGGTGGTGAGACGTGATTGGATTCTGGGGACATGTGAACAAGAAAGGCAGGCCACTAGACAGGTCGCCCCTAGGAGGGAGGACAGAGGATGGTACCAAACAGGGATGAAATGACCAGGAATTGGGAAGTGAGGCAGAGAAAAAAAGGCTGGGGCCGACAGATTCAGAGTGGGGGCTGCTCGGCTCCTTCTGGGGGGGCTCTGGGACCCTGGACACAACTCCTTGCACCTCCCTAGGTTAGCAATCTGAAGACAATCTTACAGAGCCTATTGGAGTACTCCCAGGATGTGAGTAACCATAAACAGAATTTAGGAGCTGGGGTTGGGTTGGGAGGAGATGGGTGTTGGTGAGCCCCAATGCCCCCTATTTGCACCCCTACCCCCCTGTCCTCAGGTCCTGGGGCATCCTGTTTTGGAGCAGCACCTTCCAGACGTGAGCCTCATTGGCGAGTTCTCTGACCCAGAAGAGCTTGGCAAGCTGCTTCAGCTGGTGCTTGGCTGTGCCATCAGCTGCGAGAAAAAGCAGGGTATGGGGGGGGGGTGGTTAGAGGATCCCCAGGGGAAAACCTGAGAAAATCCTCCTCATCCCGTACCCCCACGTTTCAGTCTTCCCCACCTTGATCCCCAGAGCACATCCAGAGAATCATGACGCTGGAGGAGTCAGTTCAGCATGTGGTGATGGAAGCCATCCAGGAGGTAAGTGGGGGTGCCCAGTGTGGCAAGGAGCTTCAGGGGAGGAGACATCAGGGCAGAGGCAACTGGGCATGGGCTCTGCCCTGGTAAGTTCTGGGCTCTTCCTGGAACTCAGTTGGCCAGATGCCCCTGTCTCAGGTGTCTGCCAGCTCGAAGTCACCATTTAGCACCCTCAAAGGACCCAGCCTCCCTGCTGGATACACTGCGGGAGGGCAGCCTCTAGATAGGGGTCATTGGGGAGAACTGGCTTTGGGCGCAGGAGGATTGAGAGGTCCGGAGGCTGGATTGTAGAAGCTTTAAAGGCCACACTCAGAGGGCCCAGCTCATCTCACTGTCCTCCCACCTTGCTCCAGCTGATGACCAAAGACACCCCCGACTCCCTGTCACCAGAAACATATGGGAATTTTGATAACCAGGTAAGAGGCGGGGGACCTTGTTAAAGGCCCAAATCCATCACTGATTCTCAGGGCTGCCTAAGGAGGAGGAACTTGTCCTTACGTGTGTAAACCACCTCGATCCCTCAGGGTCCTAGCCTGTTCCCTCGCCAGGTCACCAGTGTCCCCACATCACCTTTCCTTGAGTCCCCTGGGGTCCGAGCCCTCCCTTGGATCTTGAGAGTTTCTTGGCTCCTTTCTGCCACTAGAGACGCCAGCCTCCCTTCCCCCAGTCTCCTCCCGTGGACTCCTGACTTCCTTGCCCCTCCCCGCTCCCCCCCCCCCACTCCTCCCCAGTCCCGAAGGTACTACTTCCTGAGTGAGGAGGCCGATGAGGGGGATGAGCTGCGGCAGCACTGTCTGGACCTGGAGCGGCAGGTGAGGTTGAGGCTGGCGGAGAGGGAGCGCGGGTTGCTTGCCTCCTTCCCTTCCAAACTCCAGCTCATCTGCGCCTCCTGCTGGCAGCTGGTGCTCCTGTCCGAGGAGAAGCAGAGCCTGGCACAGGAGAACGCGGTGCTTCGGGAACGGGTGGGCCGGCCAGAGGGTGAGGGTGCCACTGGCCTCACTGCCAAGAAGCTGTTGCTGCTGCAGTCCCAGCTGGAGCAGCTGCAGGAGGAGAACTTCAGGTGCGGCGAGCCGGGGTTTGGGCCCCAGGCCAGGGGATTGGCGTGGGCCCAGCCCCCTCGAGTGCCCCCTCCTTCCCTACCCCTCCAGGCTGGAAAACGGCAGGGAAGATGAGCGTCTGCACTGTGCCGAGCTGGAGCGGGAGGTCTCTGAGCTGCAGCAGCGGAACCAGGCACTGACCAGTCTGGCCCAGGAGGCGCAGGCCCTGAAGGATGAGATGGACGAGCTGCGGTGAGTGGTGGGCCCCTGGGTCCCCCCTGCCTACTGTCGTTGCCGCAGCGTCCCTCTGATGCCATAGTACCTCAAAACCCCCCAAATGCCCGGTGAACCCTCCCAGTGTCCCCTAGACTCCACAGTGATGGTGCAGTGGGCGGAGTTTTGAGCTGGGCCTGGGGGTGGGGGTGGGGGTGGGGGAAGCCAGGCAAGGGCAAGGCCGCAGGAGCAGGTTAGAACATTCATAAAGGATGAACTCCCCCACCCCAGTTCTTGCCCTTTCTGCATCTTGCTTTCCCACGGCCTCACTTTTAGGAATGTTCTAACCTGCCCTGTAGCCCCGCCCTTGCCTGGCTCCGCCCCCAGGCCCAGCTCTTGAACCCCACCACACCATCCTGGATTCCACCATGTCCTCTGGGTGCCACCAAGATCCCTGCTTCTATGGTGCCCCCCAGGACCTCAGAGTGTGCCCTTTTGAGCCCACGTTATATTCCCCAGACATTGTAGCATCCCCACGACCCCAGCTACCAGCCCCCCGCCCCTGCTCCAGTGCTGGCCAGGGGCCATCACGCCCCAGGATCCCGTTGTGCCCTCCAGGACCCCAAATGCGATAACTTTGCCACCCCCTTCTTCACCCATCTGTGCCCCTCATGATAGGACATTTCCTTCTCGTGACTCCACAGCACGCCTGCAATCCCAAAGCACTTGGTGGGTCCCCCCAACACCCACTCCCTCGACTTCACTGTGTCTTCTGTAACCTCTAAAGGCTCTCCTGTTACCCCAGCACCCCTGTAATGTTAGAGTGTCTAGAGAATCCCTACTGCATCTTAAAGGACCACATAGCTCTCTGCCCTGAAGGACCTCACCGTGCCTTCATTTGATCCCATAGCCACCTTGTAACCTCAAAGTGTCCTTGAGGGCTCCTCAGAGCCTCTGGGCCCCATCATTCCCCTTGTAACGCCTCAGTCATTCTATTCACTCCCACCCCTGAGGAACCCTGATTATGACCCTGGGCTAACAATTGATACTTAGGGCTCCCTCTGCGCCCCCTAAAGACCCCTCCCCCCCCCAAAAAAAAACACCAGGCCCTGGCTGGCTCCTGACCCTCATGATCCACCACCTTGAACCCCTACATCCCCAGGTGACATGACACCTTCCCCTACCCGGGGGGGGGGGGGGGGTGTGGTCCTCAGATCCAAGCTGAACCTTGACCGCAGACCCAGGCCTCCTCTCCCGACTTGCCTCCTCCCCCAGGCAGTCCTCTGAGCGTGCCGGGCAGCTGGAGGCCACGCTGAGCAGCTGCCGGCGCCGCCTGGGTGAGCTGCGGGAGCTGAGGCGGCAGGTGCGGCAGCTGGAGGAGCGTAACGCGGGCCATGCCGAGCGCACGCGGCAGCTGGAGGACGAGCTACGCCGGGCCGGCTCACTGCGTGCCCAGCTCGAGGCACAGCGACGACAGGTGCGGCAGCGATCAGGGCGGAGCCCGGAGGGCGTGGTGCTCTAGGCCGCTGGACCCCTCGCCCCTTTCGCTTTGGTGGGCCCTCAGCGTGGTGCTGAGCCCCTAGCCTCCCCCCTCGTTTATATGTAGGTAACGCCCTTCAGGCAGGCCAGCTCCTCCCTAGGCTTGTAAGCCCCGCCCCTCCAAGTTCGCTGGGTCTGGTCCCGCGGGGCCCAATGCCTTCACCTTGTATTCAGTCCCTGCCCCTCCTCCAAACCCCGCTTTCTCACCCCTCCTCGGTGTTCAGGTTCAGGAACTTCAGGGCCAGCGACAGGAGGAGGCCATGAAGGCCGAGAAGTGGCTATTCGAGTGTCGAAACCTGGAGGAAAAGTATGAGTTGGTGACAAAGGAGAAGGAGGTGAGGCTGAAGTCCCGCGTCCAAGCCCCACCCTGTCCATCTTAGCATAGCCCAATCCCCAGGAAGCCAACCCTGCCTCAAGTGGCGTCTTGCACCCCGTCCCTCCAGCGGCTGCTGGCAGAGCGGGACTCCCTGCGGGAGGCCAATGAGGAGCTGCGCTGCGCCCAGCTGCAGCCTCGGGGGCTGACCCAGGCCGGTGAGTTGGAGGCCTGTCATCCTAAGGGCCTGGGGCGCGGGTAGCCTAAGGTGCCGTTAGGGCAGACAGAAAAGGTGTCCCAGGCCTTGTCCAGGCCGGGGGCAGATCTAAGCCACCTCGGAGACAGGCTAGAACGGAAAGAAATGGCAGGGGCCGTCCCCGGGGATCAGGGCAAACTGGGGGCAAGCATCACCGCCCGCTGTCAGGTTGGGGGGTGAGGCTTATGTTAACCCAGTCTTTTGGTCGAACTTGAGTCCTCAAAGATGACTCTTGGAAAGTGAACCCTAGGCATGGGGGCAGGAGCTGTGCAGCAACCTGAAGACATTTCTCACACTCTCCAGACCCTTCGCTGGATCCCACCTCACCAGCTGTGGAAAACTTGGCAGCAGAGATCCTACCTGCGGAGCTGAGGTATCCTGGGGTCGCTCCGAGGTCTAGCTGCACCCAGAGCTCACCCTCAGCTCCGCCCCCAGTGCAGGCACCTACTACTAGCCTGGCCTGCTGTGTTGGGTTCCCAAGTCCTCCCCTGGCTCCTAGGCCCACTCACTCCTAATTCTGCCCTTAGTTGGCCGGAGCTCTAGCCCTGTTGCCTAGAGGCAAGCCCTCTAGCCCCAGCTTGCCTCTCCGGGATCCATCCTCACTGCACAAATTAGGTCCAACCCATCTGGCTCCACCCACCGAACCAAAAAATCCTACCCTCAGCCCTGCTCACCGTCGGACTCTGCCCCCAGGGCATAGCCCTGTCCTCAGTGTAGACCCTGTTAGGTGCAGTGCCCTCTGTCCTGCCCCGATGAACTCCCCCACCCCAGTTCTTCCCCTTTCTGCGTCTTGCTTTCCCGCAGTCTTGCTTTTGGGAAGGTTCTAACCTGCTCTTGTAGCCCCGCCCTCGCCTGGCTCCACCCCCAGGCCCATCTCAAAACCCCGCCCATTTTGGTTCCCCAGCGCTCTGCCCACCCACGCCTAGGCCGGGTCCCCAGTACTCTGACCCTTCCCTGGGATCTAACGGGGCTCTTCCCCGGGGCTCTGTCCCTCTGCTAGCCCTGTCCGCCCAGTCTCCCCGCCAGAGCCCCGGCAGGCCTGCGGGCTGACCTGTCTCCAGCCCTGCTCACTCCCCGGTCGGCAGGGAGACGCTCCTGCGGCTTCAGCTGGAGAACAAGCAGCTGTGCCAGCAGGAGGCGGCCTACCGGGAGCGGCAGGAGGAGCTGCAGCGCCACCTGGAGGAGGCCAACCGCGCGCGCCACGGGCTGGAGACGCAGCTGCGGTGAGGACCCCTGGGGGGGGGGGTCCGCGTGGAGGGGGCGTGGGGTGCGGGGCGGAGGGCGGGCGCAGGCACTGAGCGGCCCCGCACTCCTGCAGGCTGAACCAGCAGCAGCTGTTGGAGCTGCGGGCCCAGGTGGAGGACTTACAGAAGGCCTTGCAAGAGCAGGGGGGCAAGACAGAGGATGTGAGTGCCCACCTCCTCCCTGCCTGGCCCTCCCTCGTGCCCCCCAGTAACCCTCCTCTCTCTCCTCCCTGCTGCTCGATGCCCCCTGCAGTCCATCGTAAGTACCGTGGGCCCAGGGTGGCACCCTCTACCCTCACCCCAAGATGGAGTTGGGACGCCTGGACCCCCCATTCACCCAGTGCCTGTTCTCTCCCCCAGTCCACCCTACTGAAGAGGAAGCTGGAGGAGCATCTGTGAGTCCCAGAGGGAGGGCACTCGGGTGGGAGGAAAGTCTGGGGCACAGGTGCGGGGGACACTGGGTGTCTTATGAGGAGAAGCAGTAAGCCAAAACATAGAAGGTTCAGATCAAGTAGGGTCTCATGAGCCAAGGGAAGGAGTAAGAACTGTTTCGGGGGAACAATGGGGAGCCATGGAGGGAGTTTCAGTAAGGTAGCATGACCAAATGACTGTCGACTTTTACTTTTTCATTTCATTTTATTTTAATGTTTATTTATTTTGAGAGAGAGAGAGAGAGACAGAGAATGAGCAGGGGAAGGGCAGAGAGAGAGGGAGACACAGAATCCTCAGCAGGCTCCAGGCTCTGAGCTGTCAGCACAGAGCCCGACGTGGGGCTCGAACTCACGAACTGTGAGATCATGACCTGAGCGAAGTTGGGCGCTCAACCGACCGACTGAGTCACCCAGGTGCCCACTTTTTTCACAAAAAAAAAAAAAAAAAAAAGAAAGAACCTAAACTGGGGGCTCCTGACTGGCTCAGTTGGTAGGGTCTGTGACTCCTGATCTCAGGGTCATGGGTTCGAGCCTCACATTGAGTGCAGAGATTAGTAAAAATTAAAGTAAACTTGGGGCGCCTGGGTGGCGCAGTCGGTTAAGCGTCCGACTTCAGCCAGGTCACGATCTCGCGGTCCGTGAGTTCAAGCCCCGCGTCGGGCTCTGGGCTGATGGCTCAGAGCCTGGAGCCTGTTTCCGATTCTGTGTCTCCCTCTCTCTCTCTGCCC